TGTGTTCCCTCTCTCGCTGTGTCTCTCTCTGTCAAATAAATAAATAAAATCTTAAAAAAAAAAAAAAAAGAAATCACCTAGTCCTCTCTACCCACCTCACCCCCCCCCATCATATAGATGAACATCTAAGGAGGGAGGTGACTGACGCAGGCCACTCAGCGGAGGGATCCTGTGCTTGTGATCCTGCTAGCGCATGACTATTCTGTCTTGTTTTCTTGTCTTCTCTCTTCACTTAGCTTGCAGACACACTAAAGACAAAGATTTCACGAGGAAGCATAACATCATCAATAGCGCACCTTCAGAGTTTGGGGAGACTGTGACTGGGGTTTGGATCTGGGCTCTGCCATTTGCTTGTTCTAAGATGTTAGCAAGTCCCTTGCCCGTGAAGTTGGCACTTAATATTTGTTGAATGAATGAGACCTAACCTCCTGAACCTCAGTTTCCACAACTGTAAAATGGAAATAAATGATACCTGACTGCTTCTCTGGTAACAGGAAAAGGGTCTGTACGGACAGCGAGCTCCAGCAAGTGGGTTTTGTCTTCTGGGTCACACCCGGATTCATCTCTTGGGCCTGCCCAGTGTGGGGCAGGCAGCATTTGTGGGTTTGTGAGAATGCCCTTCTCACCAACTCTCTGCCCTAACTCCTCAGCTAGGATCCCTGTGTTTCCTCCTCCTGGCCCTGCCCCTGAACCAGAAGCACCCTCCAGGACCCCTCCCCTTCCCCAGAGAGCACTCCTGGGCGGATTATTGAGATCACAGACCCTTTTGATGTCCAGCCTCCTCTGAAGGGCCTCATGGCCAGCCCCCCTCTATTTCCTCACACTCACCCCCAGGGTCCCTAGTCTGACCCCCACCTCCTAGGAGCCAGCAGAGGGAGCCCTGAGCCCCGGGGCTGTGGGTGGGGGCTGCATGGGGGTGGGGGAGGTGGGTGGTGGAGAGGGGGCAGAAAAATGTTGCCTGACGGCTGCTGAGGCGGCTGGGCCCGGGCCTGTGCCCGCCCGCCTGTCCTGTCCTGCTCTGTCTAACTCGGTAATTTACTGCTCCCCCTCCCCCAGCCCCTACCCCCACCCCAACCACCACATCAAAGCCAGTGATGCCCCAGCTCCATTAACCCCTGCCTCCCCACCGCCCACCAGACACCCCATTCCCCCCCTCTCCCACACTGGCCCAATCGGGTTCCCTCTGCCTTGTCCTGGACACTGCCCTTCCCCTCTCCTTCTCGTAACTCTTGGGAGAGGCAGGGGCTCTCCCTTCCCTGATGGCCTTCACCAGTCGAGAGGGCTTCCTATCAGGCAGGGCTCTGGAAGGCAAAGGAGTGGACACACTGACCCTCCACTGGATTCTCTGTCCTGTGCTTCTGCTCTCCCATGCTGCGGTGGGGAATACCCAGGTGAAGGTGGGGCTGGGGAGCAGAAGGGGCCTGTGGAAGGCCCTGTACCCCTTTCCTGACTGCACACAGGGATGAGGTACTCAGCAAGAGGTGGACTCCCAGCCCTGGTCCTCACTGCCTGTATCCTGGGTGGCCTTAAGCAAGTCCCCTCCTGTCCCTGGACTTTGCTGGACTTCTAACCATAAGTGAGAAGATTGGCTTAGATGATCTCCAAGTCCTTCCTAGATCTAATTTCTGGCTTAGATGAAGGGCTTGGAGCCAGAGGAACCAGCTTTGGAGGCCAGGTGGAAAACAGAAGATCCCTCCCAGCGACCTTTCCCTCCCTCAGCTCCTCCTCAGGTTGATCAGGGGAAGCACCCAAGATCTCACCCCACTCTGCCCCGGGCAGGAAGGAGGACACAGGCTAGAGGGCGCTGTGCCCAGTCCCTGGGGACAGGCTGCTGTGTTCCCCAGCGCCTCCTGCTCTGGCTGGCTGGGCGCCCTGCTACCAGCCTGACCGCGGCCTGGCTCCCACCCCGCCCTCGCCTCATCCCCTCCACAGCTGCATTTCTCCATCAAAGTACACATTCTGGAATCCCCCTCACTGGGCCCTGGTGACCAAACCTCCCACTGACCTCCCCCCCACCCCACCAGCTCCTGGCTTCCGATGAGAATGGGGCAGGAGGGGGTTGCCCCCCTGCCACCAGGAAATGTCACAGTGCCAGGACTCTGGTGGGCTCAGGGCATGCTCTGGGCTGGATCGAGCCAGCCTCCTTTTGCCCCTGCCCTTTTCTGCTCACAGCCCCATTGTCTCCCTCCAGGGGAAGCTGCCAAGCTGGAAGGCCTGGAGGGGGGGCACTGGATGGCCACCCCACCCCCATTCTCCACCCCACCCTGAGCTTGATGGGGGCCAGCCACCGGACTGCCCACAAAGGGTCAGATAAAGACGCAATGGAAGAGGGTGGCCAAGCCCAGCCTGGAGTGGTGGTGTGGGAGGTCTAAGCTGGACAACCTGGGTGTCAGGAAGAAGCCTGGGTCCTTTCCCTGACTCCCTGTGGGGCCAGAGATGAGGCTGTCCTAAGCCTCTGGTTCCGATTTCCTTTCCATAAGGCGGGGGGTGGGGGGGCGGAGAGATAGGCAAGATGAGATGGGGGAAGGGAGTGAGACTGGGTGCTGTTTTGCTTGTGGAACAAGGGGGAGGGTTGGTTTCTTTCATAGAAAATATAAAACAGAAAGAGGAAGGGAGAAGAAGGGAGATTGATTTGGCCATTCTGTGAGAGTGAGCTATGTTCCACATCCACTGATTGAAGGCATAAATAAAGATGGGTCAGACAATGAGAAGAACTTCCTGGGGGAGGGAGGGAGGGGCTCAGAGAGCAGGCTGGAAGGGCTGGGAGCTGGTGACCAGGAAACCTCGGACTTTCCGTCTCTTCCTCACTCTCAAAATGGGATCTGTCAGGGCCAGAGCACAGGCTGGATGGCCTGGAGGCAGTGGGCTGGACAAGATGACCTCAAGAGAGCCTGGCCAATGTCCTGGAATCTGGGATTCTGCGATTTACAAAGATACGGTTACAGATGGGAGAGAGACAGACAGAGAGGCTGGAGGCAGAGTTTAGAAAGCATGCATTGCATGGAGGGGGAAGGAGGAGGGGGAAAGAAGGTGGAAGGGAAACTTTTCTGGAACCTGGAGCTAGGTACCTGAGCCTATTCCAGGACCTGGATCACTCCCCTACAGGACCCTCCTTTCCTAATCTGGACAGTCCAGTCACTCAGAGTTCCTGGGGTCCTCTCTGTTCCCAGCCTGGCTGCTACTAGAATGTCAGAGTCGACTGCAGGGGCTGCTGCCTTCCTGTCTACCGCTAGAACTCTGGCCTGGTTAGCATTCTCTGAGAAGCAGGGAAAAGGGGGCCAGCAAGCAGGTCCTAGACATCAGACGCTCTGGGCCTGATAAAGTTCCTAGCCAAAGTAAAGCTGGTGTAGGGGGGCAGTGTGGGGAGTGAGGGGTAGGCAAGGAGTGGCAGGAGCCTCAGCCTACTGGGGATGCTGGGTCCAGCCCTCCAGCCCAAGCCAGATCTTGGAGATCGATGGTGAGGTGGGATGGGGACAAGAGAGTAAGCAAGTAGAGTCAAAGATCCTGAGAAAGGAATCTGGGATCAGACCAAAGGAATGAAGTGTCGGAAACAGACAGAGGAGAGTGAGGGGACCAGTGCAGGTGGGAGAGGCAGGTTCTCTCTGAGAGGCAGCTGAGAGAGGCAGTTGCTGGACACCTTATCACCCCAGCCCCTCACTCTTCACCCAGCTCACCCTGCAGCTGCAGCCATGAAGGCCCCTGTGTTCTCCTACACCTGCCCTCCTCACCTCCTCCCCCACTCCCTGCTTCCCAGCTTCAGGGTCAGTCTCCAAGGGACCAGGCCTCTCTCCCTCTGGCTTGTCACCCACCCAGCAGCCCCTCCTGAACAAAGGAACCCTCATAGACACAAGTCTCAGAAAGGCAAATCAACCAATTCAGCAACACTCCACAAGACTTCCCCAGCACCTTTAGCCTCCAGGGCACAAAGACAAAGGCTCTGCCTTCCAGGAGCAAGGAAGAAGGACCACAGAGGGGATGGTTGTCCCAGTAACTGGCATAGTTGCCCAATGCGTGGGGTGCAGTGGGAGCACACAGAAGGCGAAGGAGGAAAGACAACGAGATAATGTTATGGAGGATGTGGTATTCTACCTGGAAGGATGAGAATGATTTGGAGAAATGGAAAAGGAGTAGAGGGAGGGCAACTACCATCAGGCAGAGACCCCTGTCTCCATGCCTTGAGAAAGGGCAAAATGAGAAAATGTGAGTCTGGGAAACAAGACAGAGATCGCTTTACAAAGTTTTGCTTGGGACTCTGGATTTTAAATTTAAATTAATCCTCCTTTTCTGGCCTACAGAAGCTGCCCAGGAGAACCCGCAGCGTGGAGGAGGGTGACTTAACATTTACAGAGCACCTCCCGACACCATATCATTTTGTAGGTAATCCTCCTGTCCGGCCTACCAGATAGGGGGACTGTTTCCCAATTTTATAGTTGAGACGTTGAGGCGCAGGGAGAAGTGACTTATCCAAGGTCACAGACTTAACAAATGGCCAAGACTGGATCTCAGGTCAATTTCAAAACTGACACTATTATTATACTAAGTTATGCTAAGCCAGGATCGAAGGACGCAAGTCCCCTAGCCGGGACCTGGGTCATCCTCGATTTGCTCCCTCGCTGACACCCCCGAGGGACATCTCTCCCGCATCAGGAAAGAGGGCTCGCAGCCAGCAGCTCCCTGTGTGGGCATCCAGCTCCCTATCTCCCTGGAAGAGAGGGATCTGCCGGCCCCACCCCTCCTTCCAAACCGGGGGGTGGGGGCGGAGTGGAGGGTAGAGAATCCAGCCAATGCTATGGCGCTATGCAAATAGACAAGACCTTCCTTTCTTAGGATTGGCTGATGCATCAGTGATACTGTCCAAGTCCCTCCTCTTTAAACACCCAGCTATTCCGGGCGGGTCTTTGCAGCTCTGGAGAGACCGGGAAGGAAAAAAAAAAAGTCCACGGGATCGAGATCTCTGAGAGGTCCCGACCTGGCACCCACCTTCCTAGTTGCTGTCCATCCCCAAGACTCAAAGTTCCCGCGACCTTAGCTCCGTAGTTGTCTGCTCTAGGTAGGGCCAGGTCTGGAGGCCACGTCTCCTTGGTTGGCCAGGCCTCCCTCCCTTCCACCGGGACCCGCCACGATTCCCAGTACCTCCGAAGCTGTGTTTTTTCATTTCTGACCCCCACATCTGGAAGGACTGGGAGCCTGGGTCCCTTTCCTGTCCTTCTTCCTCTTCTTTGCTCCGGGAGGAGGATGTAGAGAAAGCCGGGGTCCTGACTCAGTTTCCCTTTACGTTTTTCCCCCGCCACTACTGTCCATTTGAAGTAGCCCTCAGAGAGAAGCTGGTGGGTTTGTGGAGCAGCGTAAGGCGGGGAAGAGACAGCTGTTTGACCCTCTTTGCCTTTGTGCCTTCCCACCTTGTTCCTCTCTTTTCCACAAATCCAGTCCTCCTCCCCTAAATCCAGGGCCCTCCTCACACATTCTTTTCTTCGGATCTCTGACTACAGATCTCCCCCCCGCACACACACACCCGCTGTCTACCCGGTGGCTCTTTCTCACCCACGTGCCAGTTCCTTGAGGACCTGGATTGAGCGCATAAGCGGAGGGGGAAAGGGGAGGATGGGGAAGGGTGTGTAGCACAAGATAGGAGGAAATGCAACCGACTGTGCGGAGTGGAGGTTTCGGAACGTCTGAGTGGCAGTTTAGAAGTGGCCCAGGCGGGGGCCGGCAGGAGAGCGGCACGCACCTCCCCGGCACCTCTCCAGCGGCCCGGGGGGCTGCGCTGGGCTCGCAGGTAGAGCCCGCAGGCAGCGGGAGCGCGTTTGGAAGCCCCGCCACCCCCACCGGCCGCCGTCAGTCCCGAAGCCCCCACCCTTGAGGGGCCCGAGCCGCGCCGGCACCGCACTCACCACCACAGCCCACCGACGTGCGCGGGACACAGCAGCAGCAGCAGCAGGACGCAGGGCGCGGGCGGCAGCATCGCGAGCGCTCTGCCGCCGGCCGGTGCGGTACGGGGCGAGGCTGCCG